TATTATTTCTTTTCCAATCCTTGCATTTAGATCTCCGAAAATAACTAAGATTCTGTTATTAAGTATTCTATCTACTACATTTACTAATTCGTAATAGAAGTTGTTTTTTTTCTTTCTGAGTTTTTCCTTTAGTAGAGACATGAACGTTAATTAAAGTAATATTGAACCAATGTTCAACAATTTTATTGTTAACAACGATATTGTTAGATTAATTGCCTTAAATGCTATTATGGTTAGTTCTAATGACTTATATGTACCATGAAACCCGTACCAAATTGTTATTGATCAATGATCATTTATTCCGCGGAAAACGGTATGATTGTTAATGTCTAGAGATCCCATGTTCTTTAAAAGTCAGAGTAGAGCTACTGAAATGTACACGGTACTACATTGAGCGATGGGAGCGCCACATTTCCAACGCCGGAAATAAATAATAAATATTTAAAGAAAAATAATAACAAAAAATTATTACAAATGAGCAATCCCACGCATCAAACAATAATGTTTTTAATTGTTTATATCAGTGGTTTTCAACCAGTGTGCCGTGAGCACCCTTGAAATGTGCCGCAATAACTCTATTAACAGTTTTATACTTTTGTATTTACTAATATTATTATCGTTATTCGGTGAAAATTGATTAATAATAAATATAAAGACAGGCTAAATCATTAATCGTAGACACGTATAATAGTATTTAATATTAGTATGCCCGTCCAAGACTGAATTTACGCCTAGATCTGTGATGCCCGGGCCTAAGGCGGCAAATTTTGTAAGAAATGGAAAAAAAATCATATTATAAATACTTTATGCATTTATGTAACTATATAAATTAATATTATATAATATTTAATATATATATTTAAAAAACAGAAGTAAATCCATGAATTTGAAAAATACATACTATATTTTTTGAGTGGTTGGGTGGTTGGGGCGGCACCAGTTATAAATCCAGCAATGTGCCCGTCGCAACCGTCTCGATAATTTTACGTCGCGTCGCGGAATATTGTATTATATACACTATACTCATCATAGGTATTTCTTTGTATTTTCAACGATTTATGTCTTACGTGGTATATTTTAAATAATACTCGTAACTATAATTTTTATAATAGATAAATTTATAATTCGTTCAACTCACAGCATTTCAGTGAATGAACAACCAAAGAAAAACAATGAATTAAATATCAGACGTCAATATCATAAAGATTATTTAAAAATAGTATTTTCTTGGTCCGATAATGTTAATGATCCTCGTCCATGGAATCTTGTATGTGGCGAAAAACTAACCAATGAATCAATGGTTCCAAGTAAACTAAAACGTCATTTTTCCACCAAGCATTCTCATTTAGTCGATAAAAATGCTTCATATTTTTAACGTTTACTAAAACAGAAACACGACAATCTGAAAAACTGACAAAAATAGTGATGATTTCTGATAAAACTCAAGTAGCTAGTTATCTAATAGCAGAGCTTGTAGATAAACAAGTGAAACCACACATTATAACAGAAAAAATTATTTTACCGGCTTGCCGTGAAATCGTATAAGTACTTCTTGGCAAAGAAACTAAAAAAGAAGTATTAAGAATTCCTATACCTGACAACACCTTTAACAGGCATAAGAACACATGTCTAAAGATATTGAAGAACAATCCCGTGACTCTCCATTATTTGCATTACAACTTGACGAATCAACTGACATAAGTGGACCAGTACAAATTTTGGTATTTATACGTATAGTTTCCAACAAAGATATCGTGGAAAACTTTTTGTATTTTAAAATACTTCCTGAGACAACCAAAAGTGAAGACTTTTTCTAAATCATATTAAAAGTAATTCACTAAAATCAAGGTTGTTTGAAAAAATTTGTGAGGATTTGTGATAACTTTAATTTACTTTTTCATAGTGCAATAAGATGGTTAACAAGAGGCCGGGTATTAACACGTTTTTATAGTTTGAGTGAAAAAATAATTATATTTTTAACAATAAAAGAATCAAAGTACGAGTTTCTTTAAAGATAAAAGTGGTGGACAAAAGTTTCTTTTTTAACTGATATTTTAGAACTTTTGAATAAATTAAATACAAGCATACAAGGTCGTAACAAAAATACTCTAACATCATTTGACCAAATTATGGCTTTTAAAGAAAAATTAACTCTGAGGAAAACTCAAGTTGACCGAAAAAAATTGACAATGGTCCTACGAAACTGTAGGGTGAGATATAAACGCCAGCCGGCAGCCTCGTATCGTTAATATGTAGATACCGTCGGCGTAAAGACATGGAACCAATCTATCATGTTACTGAAAGATAAAATGACAAAATACTTTCCCAGCATACATGTTGAAAACTGGATGCGAAATCCATTCAGTGTATGTTAACGAGGTAATTAATTCTACATTCACCGAAGAAGACAATCTTATCTGACTTAAAAATGATAAAATATTGAAGTTAAAATTTAAAGAAATTATTGTTAACAAATTTTGGATATATGCTCAAGCAGAATTTCTTGAAGTATCTATAAAAGCCATAACAATTTTAGAACCATTTTCCACATCGTATCTATGCGATCAAGGATTTTTAACAGTCACGATAATGAAAAATAAAAAAAGAGAAGACTTCGATTCATAGAAAACTGAGAGTAAGCTTGTCTATAGTTCGTTCTTGAATTAAACACTTGAGCGCCACGCATCAAGCACAAATGTTTCATTAATCGATATATTTTTATTACAATGTATAACAATATTATCATATAAATAAAATTGTGTATAAAATATGCATCAAATATATATGAATTGGTGTGCCGCGAAAAATTTGTAGGAGTTTAAGTGTGCCGCATTGTTAAAATGGTTGAAAACCACTGGTTTTAATTTTTACCACACCCGTTCCTACATTAGGTATCATTCATAACATCAATTATTAAAATACAAGTATACAATATATAAAAAAATTCACTAGCATATAATATAAACAATATCCTTTATTTAAAAATATATAAAAACAAATAAGTACTCAAATTACAAATATACAAAGTATTTATTATTAATAACTTTGAAAAAATTAAAAATAACAAAAATTAAACAATAACATCAAGTAGGTAAGTATTAAAAAATTAAATAATGGGATCTTAACAATTAATTAATTATATTCTCACAATCGATTTTTCTATAAATTTTATTTTCAATTTAAAAAATGCCAACACTGTTTAAATGATTCTCTGTTAATCATAAGTAATTTTTATTTATGAGTTGGGAAGGAGCTTTTAGTAGAAATGTTTAATGTTGGAAGACATGAAACAATTCTGGAGACTATGTCTATATAAAGAAATAGTTCACCTAAGTTCTTTTCTTTAACAATATGTTGATTTTCAATATTGTATGTAAGAGTTGTTGCTGTAAATAAAATAAAGACTAAAACGTGTATAATTATTATTTTATTTGCGAGATGTTCATTACGTCGGTGACAGGAACTACCTAACTATTTGTGTGTGCAGTGTGCAACTGCACATTTCACATCCAGTCACAACATTTGGTGATAACATTTTATAATAATTTAGAATCTTTAGAATATTCATTAGAAAAGTTATCATCTAAATCATTATTATATATTTTGATTAATTAATTTACACACAAATCTAATTTAGAAGGTGAACGACTAATAAATTTCAAACGTTTTCAATCATAACTCAATTTACATTTCAAATGAATATAATAAACAAATTAAATATACCAAAAAATACTTAAACAAGTTTAAGTCAATTTGATTAGCGACTCGGAATTGATGAGTGTTTCATGTAAACAATAAACAAATATAGTCTACGATTAATTTGTATACCTACATCACCAATCATAATAAATTTATTATAATCGTTACTTAAATTATAATTATAATAGTCAATGATCGATGGTCAACGGTTGTCAGTATAACCGTAGAATATAATAATATATTTTATGGTATAACTGAACTCAAACTCTAGAGAAATAAATAACAACATTTCGTTAAATATATAAAAACACTATCAAATAAATTTCAGCCTACATGACTACATATTATTATGGTCTATGTTACACTTTGTTGTTATTGCTATAACTTATTTTACATTTATTTTGTATACATTTTAAATACAAAAATAAATTAAGTATTATTTACATTAGGAATATATCATTGTAATTGATAAAAAAATTAAAATTATTTGTATTTATTACCAAATTACTCAAAATATTGTTGTCTGTCAACATTTTCGGTCTAGATATATAGCCCCGGTAAGTCCTAAAGTAAATAATCAGGCCCGGCGCGAGGGTAAGGCGACTCAGGCGGTCGCCTAGGGCGCCATTTTCAGGGGAGCGCCGAAATTGCTTTTTACAATTTTGCACACTTTTGTTAGTAATTTTTTTTATTAAATATAAAATTCCTAAAACTTTGTATTGAAATATAGATAATTATTATTATGGTTATTCTGTTTAGCGTACTAACGTAAAATGTTTATCTTATGTATTGTTCTACAAATATAAAAATTCCCGAATATTTGTTATCGTTTAATCGGGATCGCGTCAAGCCATTGTGACTCATGACTACGTCTCGTCCGTCCATCACTTATCAGCTTATTCTGTGTGTTTAAAAATACACGTTAATTTTATTATAGTATTATACCTATATTATTATTTTACTGATTGACGATCGTACTATACGGGTCAGTGATCATACTTTTATTGTCATTTTGTTTTTGCTCTTTGAAACGAGTACTTACGCCATCGCCTAGTTGACGATTAAATTTCACTAGTTATTAGGTAAGTTATAACTTTAACAGAAAATAGAAAGTAAATAATATAATATATTTTAATTTATTATTTATTAACACGTTTGCTGCTGCATCTGTTGGAATACTATATTTATTTTATGTTTAATATACCTTATATTAGTATATTAGTATAATTTATACTTGATAAGAATTAATTAATAATATTATACAAATTATTACAATTAATTTAGGAAACGCTTTAGTTAGAATGGCACCGAAAAAGAAATTATCTGGAGCAGAAAACCTAAAAAAAAAGATTAAGAGGGAATTAGAATTTAAAAAAGGTGCTAATGCTTTATCTAAGTTCTTGCAAAAAAATAAAGAATCAATTAACGATGAAAGCTATTCTTCAGAAGAATTGTTACCTTCTACAAGTCCAGAACAAAATATCACGTCATCTTTATTAGCTACTACAAGTTCTGAACAACATACAATTAAGCATTTAGAAAATATGGATATTTCTATTGAATTTCAAAGTAATGAATTGGTTAGTAACACTGAATCATCTGAACCAAGTATTAACTCTGATCCTGCTACTTGGCCCTCATTTTTAACATCAAAACAAATTGACTATATAGTAGTAACCGGTCCCGAAATATTTACAGAATTTTCGAGTATTCAACTAGATCATGAAAAAAGACATTTTTCTGAGATTCATTTTTATCGACATCTTTCTAATGGAGAAAAATTACTTAGGCGTTGGTTAATTTACTCAAAATCAACGGGGAAAATATTTTGTTTCTGTTGTAAATTATTTGATAGAACTCCGAAGTCAAATTTGGCAATTTGTGGGTTTTCTGATTGGCATAACGTATCTGCTGCACTTACTGTACACGAAAAAGCGCCTAATCATTTTAAGGCTTATGGTACATGGATAGAAATAGAAAAAACGGTTAAAACTAAATAAAACAATAGATGCAGAGCACCAGCGAATTACGAACATGGAAACTGATTATTGGGTAAAAGTTTTGGACCGTTTGTTATCAGTAACTTTATATTTATCAAAGAATAATCTAGCGTTTCGAGGAAGTTCAGATAAATTTTATACTCAAAGTAATGGAAATTTTTTAAGTTTAGTTGAACTTTTGGGTAAATATGACGATGTAACTAAAGAATTATTACTTAAAACACTGTCTCGTGAAAAAACCGTACATTATTGCAGTCATTCTATTCAAAACGAATTAATTAATCTCATGGCCAATAAAGTTTTAGAAACAATAATAGATAGATTACGTGCAGCAAAATATTATTCTGTAATTCTTGACTGTACACCAGATGTGAGTCATCAAGAACAACTATCCTTTACACTAAGATTTGTTAATATAAAAAAAAAAATTGAAGTTAAAGAACATTTCATTGGGTTTAAAACGGTAGAAAGCTCTACAGGTTTGAGTTTAACAGACCTTCTTCTAAATACTCTTGCAGAAAAGAATATTCCTTTTCAAGATTGTCGTGGGCAGGGATATGATAATGGTGCTAACATGAAAGGGCAAAAAAAAGGAGTTCAAGCGAGAGTTTTATCAATGAATCCTCGTGCCACCTTTGTTCCATGCAATTGCCATTCTTTAAATTTAGTTGTATCAGATGCTGCATCTTGTTCTATAAATTCAATTACAGTTTTCGGCGTACTCCAAAGAATTTATGTATTGTTTTCATCATCGGTAAATCGATGGAAAATTTTAACTGACAATATAAAAGGGCTGACCGTGAAACCTCTGAGTGACACAAGATGGGAAAGTAGAATCAACAGCGTAAAAGTTGTTCGTTTTCAAACTGAACAAATTTACAATGCGCTTATTAAACTATCCGAAGTTGAAAACATAGATGCTGGAACGCGCCATGAAGCTGTTTCGCTTGCTGATCAACTTACAGATTTTAAGTTTCTAATATCATTAGTTGTTTGGTACGATATTCTTTTTCAAGTAAATTTAGTTAGTAAAAGTATGCAAGCAAAAGCAATAGACTTAATAAATGGTTTTAATATGTTAAAAAGTGCTTTAGAATTTATTAAGAACTATAGAGACCAATTTGATCAGATTTTGGTTAAAGCAAAAGCAATAGCAGATGAATTAGGGGTGGATTCTGAAATAAAAGTAGTTCGGAAGCGTATAAAAAAAAAACACTTTGACTATGAGCGTTCAGATGATACTGATCATAGAACTGTACTCGAAAAATTTAAACATGAATTTTTTTACACATTAATAGACGTTGTTACTACATCATTGACAGATCGTTTTGAAATTTTAAAGATCCATGTTGATTTATGGAATTTTTTGTACGATTTAAAAAATGCACCTGAAAATGAAAACGATTTATTGAAACATTGTATGGATCTACACAATCACCTTAAAGATGGATCTGACTCTGATATTGATGGTGTCGAATTATGCACAGAAATTGTGAACATCAAGCAATTGTTAATTTCTTGTTTGGACGTAAGTTCACCTCTTAATATTCTTCAATACATTTTTGACTATGAACTCCAAGACATATTTCCAAATCTTTGGATTGCTTTAAGATTATTATTGACGTTACCAGTGACAGTAGCTAGTGGTGAGCGGAGTTTCTCAAAATTAAAACTCATAAAAACATACTTGCGATCTACTATGGCTAATGAACGTTTAGTCTCACTATCGGTTTTATCTATAGAAAACGAAATAGCTGCGGAAATTGATTTTTCTACAATTATACGGAGTTTTGCCGAGAGAAAATCAAGAAAAGTGTTGATCGATAACAAATTTAAATAAATATTTTATTTATGTTATGTTTTATTGTACTCTCTATTTCCATTTATTATTAATTTCTGTATTATTATTTATTTTTTTTTTTTTTTGTAGTATGTAGGTATTTTATATTTATATGTGAATACTATACCTATTACATTATATTTCTTTATACGTTATTTTTTTTTTTAATTAAGACGATAACAAATAATGTACAAACTACAAGTTAAGAATTATACATCATTTTTCCGTATTTTTATCCATGAATAACATTTTTTCCGAGTATTATAATATTATGGGTTGTATGTAAAAGGCGCCAATTGGCATTTTGGCCTGGGGCGTCATTTAGCCTTGCGCCGGGCCTGTAAATAATTATGTTCTTGTATAATATAGATACAGTTTAATTTATTTACTATATGTTTTATACTAGATGTATGCAGATCAAAATATCTTAAATTTTAAATGTTGAGATATCAAAAATAACAACACTTATTTGTTTTCAAACTATATGCATCTTTTGATTTTATGATCATAATTTTTATTGAATTTATATATAATTATATTTATCATGATAAAAATGTTTACTTTTCTTAAAATGAATTTATATAAATAAGTAGTAATTAGTAAAATATTTAAAAATATTGATATTTCTAAATATTGAAAAATGCATGACATATATTTCTAGATTTCAATGACCAATGTTTTAGTTATACATTTATAGTAGATCTATGTAACAGTCGTACACTCATAAAAGATTATTGAGGTGGGAGTGCGCTCTGGTGTCAGTATTAGGTACTGTAGTATCTAATGATTACAATTATGTCAGTGTATGTATATGAAATATAATTACAGTAACTCGTTCTGTTTTTGAAATTTAAATTAATAGATATAATTTATAATAAAAGTGTATAGTTTCAGTTTTCACTAAATTTACTTAAATGACTATGGCGTGACGAAAGATCCCGAAACACTCGAGTTTGAAAAACAATTAATGCGGTAGGTTAACTTGCATATTATTAAATTAATTGTAATTTGTAATAATGAAAAATAAACTATACCTATAAAGTTTAGACATTTCACAATCTATTTTAATGTACAACTGAACTTAAAACCGATGCCTCTTATGACCCAGAATTAGGTTAGAGAAGGCGGAAAAATGCATCGAAAGATACAGAATTAGCTTTTGTATGAAATTATATTTGAATCCACTACAGTGATTTTAACACTTGATTACTGAGACATAATTTAATCACTAACCACAATGTATCAAACATTTCCATGTGGTTTAATATAGCTCAGAAAAAATAATAGCAATTAGTTTTAACTAGCTTAATGTAATTTTATCTAAAATGTTTATGTTATATTGTTATAGAAATTGAGTATTCACAATTCATTATTGGAGAATCAGTTAGCAATTTATAACTTGGTCATTATGTACAAAACAGGTTTGTTTCATTTTGAGTTAATAATTTTCTTTTT